CGGCAGGAAGGGGAAGAAGGGAAAGGAGAAGGGAAGGAAATAAACGAAAAATGGGGGGTGGGGGGTGGGACTGTTACAAAAAAAAGCCCCAGAAGATCAAACTTCTTTGCCAGGTTCTTTCCCTCTTGTCTTGAAGGCACACCTTAGAAGACACTTGTGTGGCCCAAACTCTCTCGATCTAGCTGGCTGTTCACGACAATATTATCTGTGGACGTGAAAGGAACCGGCGGTTTGTGTCGGAGATTTTTAATAGATAGCTTTTGTATAGCGCAAATCCCCGCTCAACAGCAAGCTGTATGCGCATCACAATGTATACTATTACCCCAGCAGACCTGGGCGCATTCTGAAATAAACTCAACATCCTGGGAAGCATACAGTGCAAGCAGCCATTTATAGGCCCTAAAACACTAACATACTGACAAGATCTTTCGCTGTCTATGGCCGGGTACAGATTTTTGCTGACCAACACAGACTTGCTGGGTTGGGGGGGGGGGGGGAGGAGAGTTCGAACCGTAGCTCGGTCCAACGTTGTGTCCTAACTCTATAAATCGCTACCTCAGAACTATGGTGTCAGAAATGTGGCGTCGGTGTCCTAGTGGTTAGGCTCTCGGACTCGCACGCAACCGTAAGGTCGCGGGTTCGAATCCCGTCAGGGGCCGACGTTGTGTCCTTGGGAAAGGCACTTTGCACAAATTGTCCTCACTTCACCCAGGTGGAAATGGGTACCTGGCTATAGACAGTGAACGATCTTGTCAGTCTGATAGTGTCTGAGCGCGTGAAATCCGCAGCTTGCACTGTATGTTTCCGCGGAAGCCGAAAATGTTTCTGGGTGTTCTCAGAGGGTCTGCTGGGGTAATAATAGTTGTAAAGCGCATAGAGCATGTCCTTGAGCATGGATATGGGCTATATAAATGCAATTAATATTATTATTAACTACAAAGTTCTATCTGACACTTTTGGTTGTTTTTGGGTTACTCTAAGACCATGAAATCAGAAATCGAATGCTCTATCTGCTCTATCAAAATCGCAAGATTATTCAGAGTAGTCATCAAGTTATTCAAAAAATTGCATTAAAAAAAGGCTTGACATATAATTGTGAAACTCAAAATTTTTGACGTCAAATTCCTCGAAACTAGGCGGGCCTTCTGAGCAAACACCACGTAGTAATTTTAAGGTTGCGAAATATTGTTTCACTCATAGAGGACGCGCAATTTTTCACCACTGAAAACGCGTTGTTTCGGGATACTTTAAAAAAAAGACCCATAACTTCCTAATTCATATAAATATTTCAATTTTGTTTTCTTTATCTTAAACTTAAAAAGGCAGCCAATAATGTGCTTGCTACGAAATGCAATGCAAATTCGTGTTACTTGTGTATAAAGGTTGGACGTGTGCTGCATTATAGGCTTTGGACTGCTGCTGATCGGACGTATTTGTCCGCTACGTCTTCGAAGAGTCAAAGTGGGCCTGAGCAGTGATTTCTCACTGTAGTGCGGTAAAAAATTCGTGGCGCAACTTATCGTCAAATTATTGAAGTATTAAACTTAGACTCTCCAGTTTTTGCGCAATGATTTATTTTATCAGTTTGTCTTAACTTACTGATCAATACTTTTGTAAACACTTTTAGCCGTATTCTAGAAAATTCTTTAATAAATACTAATTTTCCAAATTCCAAGTGGGTGGTTTCTACAGATTTTAAAAGGTTTACAGCTGAGGCAATATCGCTTTTAAAGCAAGCCGGTCATTTTTTTTCTAATTGCTACGTTACGCTTATTGAACGCTTGTTTTGAGAACCTTTAGTGCAAACATGTGTCACTTTAAAATGAATTTCTTGTTACAAGTTTTACCACTAAAAAATGTCATTGATGAGCTGTGACATACACCATACGCGTATACAAAATGTGTGTGAGAAGCTGGAAGTGCTGTGAACAATCCCATCTTTCGCGTGATGGAGATTTTTAGTATTTGTGAGGCATCGTGGTGAAATCAGGCGCTCGTCAAAATAATGAAATTTAAGTAACTGGAATTTTTCAGTAACTTTTATCAAATTTTTGTTTTTTGACTCAACCCCTTTAATATCCAGATAAAAACACATTTCTATACAAATTTTACCGAAAAAAAAACGTTGATAAAATGCAGAAAATGCGTAATTTTTCAATTTTGAAGAACTCTAAAGCCATTGGAATTATCGAACTTTGGCAGCCATTTTCTCGCTAATTTTAAAACTGAAGCCAGGCGATCCCCAGCTCCTACAATTGGAAGTATCTTGACATCTATTCAAGAGAGATGGGTATTTATTCTTTGAAAGCAATGGAAATGAACAAGCTTTTAGATGATACCAATGACTCCACATGCCCAAAAATTGACGAGAGCCTGATTCCACCTCATCGTGACACATTTCCAAAATTTATTAAGGAAACTTTTAAAATCTAGCCTTAATTATTGTAGAAAAATATGATTACTTTAAGGCAAATTGATATAAACTGCTGTGCAAAGTATGGGGGACATTCACCGGTTAGAGAGATACATATATTTGAGGATAAGTTGTGCCACGAATTGTTGACCGCACTGTAATCTAATGTCTGGCCACAGCTTACATGCCCGAGGCAGAAATTACACTTTCGCCCTGAGTTCAATTTTATTAGATTTGACGATACACATTTGCAAATAAAACCTTAAAAGACAAAAGACAACAATGTCCGTTTCAGATTCTCAAAGTTCAACTCAAAAGGAATTTAAAAATTACGTCAAAGCAATATTTTGTTTTTCAAAAGGGCGCCCCAAAGATACACAATTTGATAATCAAAAAACGAAAAAGAGAATTCGAGCTAAATGGTACTGAAGACTTACCCTGTTCCTTGTGAGATAAAAGGTGACCTATGTACGCCGGTTTCTCCCCACAATTTAATGTCCAACTTGATACATGCAATAACACTGTCAAACTGAGGCTAACTCCATCTGCCTATTGTCTTCACAAGTTACAAGTGTGCACTTGAACAAGGAAATGAAGCATATCCGCCGGCTTTACCAAGACGAGAACTTCCCTTCACTCAGCTCTCGTGGTAAAATAAGGTAAAAGACAATCATAATTTTAAAAAAGAAAAGAATCTAAAGCTTTTAAAGGCTTGACATAGCGGCTCTCGTGGCTTTAGAGGTTAAGGTGTTCGCCTCTCATTCAATAGGTCCCGCGTTCGAATCAGGATAGCGACGGAAAATTTTCTTTTCTAAAATTGTCTCCTTTCACCTCGTTGTCTGCTCTCTAACAATATTATGTCGTCTGCTTTCGTCTCCACCTTCTGCCCCCGCCCCTTTACCTCTTTTGCCTCCTCCTCTGGGCTCCCGACTCTTTCTGTAACCTTTCTACTGCTACTCCTTGGCTCTTTCTTACTGCTGTTTTTCAGCCACACCCCTGATCTTATGGTAGGTAAGATCTACTCCTAGTATTCTCGGATAAGAGTGAAAAATCTCGGAGATCCTGTGTGCACGTTGCGCACGTTAAAAATCCCTTGGTGGTCCAAAATCGATAAGAGTAGGCTTCAGCCGCCACCCGGGCAAAATTCAAAATTTCCAACCAACTGAAATTGTATAATGAATGTATCCCACGCGCTCATTTGACCTTATGCCTTATGCAATTGCGAGCGCCGCAAAATACTTACCCCCCCCCAAAAAAAAAAAGAAGAAAAAAAATGTTTATCCCATTAGAGTAAGTGTTTATTGTCAATTCATGCCCGCTCGCCCAGGACGCTGCAAAATAAGTAGGGGATTTCCATAATTTGTGTTTTGTTTTTGCTTTTATTTGTGTGTGTAGGTGGGTTTTTTTTGGTTTGTTCGTTGCTGTTGTAACAATTATACATGATGTAATATGATGTGTAGTCGTTAGCCAAGTGGTGGGCTTGTCATAACATAAGAGCGGACTTGAGACACAGCGAGGGCTCAACGTTGCGTACTGTGGACTTGGGAACGACACTTTACTAATGTTTTACTTTTTACTTTTTCTGGCCTCTGTCATCTTGCGTCGTGCAGTGACGAGGGCGGAAGCAAACGTCTCTCCCCTCTCTTCTCCCCCCCC